ATCTTCCCACAGGGCCTCAGACTCAACACGGACGCCTACATTAAGTGCCTTGAGGAGGTAGTACTGCTCGCGGTAAAGAGATTAGCGGCTGGAAGACCCTATATCTGGAAACAGGATTCTGCACCATGCCAAACAAGCAGAAGAAATTATTCATGGCAGCCAAGCAATTTATACGACCATATTACCTCTTACATCTGGCCACCTAGCTCCCCAAACTGCAATCCCCTTTGATTATGTGTGGGTCGCAGTTGAGCAAGAGACCAACAAAACTCCTTATAACACCAAAGATGAAATGAAGGCAAGAATTATGGTAGCATTCACTAATTTAAACAAGGAGACTGAGCAAAAGAATTGCAGGAGATTCCGAAGTCATCCGAAGTCCATGATTGAAACCAGTGGCGATCTTATTGAATTAATTTACTATTTAATATTTTAAGATATTTTTGGTGGAATTTTGCAAATATATTTGTTGCAATGAGATGCCAGTGCTATTTTCATTTTTGTGTAATTTAAACAACAATTTATCCATCGCACCCTACACACACACACACACACACACACATATATATATATATATCTATAGATATCTATATATATATACACTTACATATATGTGTGTGTGCGTATATATATATATATTGATTAATCAAAAAAGGCAATTAAAATATTTTATGAACATAAAAGGAAAATTTTACGAAGCAATACATCAAATTCTTAGGTTGCCCACAATTTTGGCATAAAAATGCTATTCTGTTTAAAGGAGAAAATTCTCTACGACGAAAATGTCTACAGAGTCATCTACAGTAAATTTGCGCCTTGGTGCTTCTAACATTTAACCATTCTTGTCATAACTTCTATTATCACAGTCGAGGTATCGTCTAACAAAATTGATTGAAAGAAAAAGAATCTAAATGAAATCGGTTAAGTTAGAAAAACAATAACATTTAAAATTCTCAGCATCCCTCGTTCGTGAACATGCGCAGTCGCAGCAACATAACAAATTTAGTCCAATGAAATCCTAAAGGACGGAACGCGCCACAAGTAAACTTTTTCTGATTTGTCATACATTTTTACCCAATACTGTTCTTGATATATAAAAATATATATTGTTACGCGGTAAAAATAGAAGAGACGCGCTAACGCGTGACACCACGTTTGAGCATGGCCTAACGGTTAGCTAGTCACGCGTAGCGATCAATTGTTTAGTCAAGTTCTAGGGAGCAACGAGGTCAGATGGATGAATGCTTTACGCAGCGATTGCACAATCGATCAAAACCTCCTTATGCGGTTTTTGTGGACAGAGGGATTCAAACATGCGCAAATCCATTACCGGATGTTGGAAGAGTAGGGAACACGAACCATGAATCAACAAATGTGGGTAGTATATATTTAAAGCTGGAAGAATAACTGTAATGGACGTAAGCCTGTCTGGTCGTTCCTCAGTCAGCAGAGGGTGGATGGCTTGATCAGGGAACACCGACGAATCACAGACAATGATGACTGTGGTCGAAAGGCGTTCTAATGTTCCACAATAATGCACAGCTGCATACAACAACTTTAAAGATTGCTGCGTAACGACTTAGATTTAAATTGCTTCCCCATCAGTCCGGATCAGATACCGTTCGATTACCACATCTCCAACCGTTCGAAAGAGACACTACATGGCCGTAGGTTCAGTTCGGGCCAGCGACGCAGAGAAGAAGTAATTTTGGGCGCAAGAGAGAAAAAAAAAATTCTTCGGTATGGATGAAGAGGCTGATCGAACGAAACTAGAATTCAATTACTATGCCTTATCATGTGATCATAATCAACCAATCAAATTGCATTTTAAAAAGATAGCAATCGAAGCCGCTTTTTGCATGAAACAAAGAATTTTCAAATGAAGTTAGATGTAAGACATATCATGTCATATCCGCATTTCTCTCCATTTCAATTGAACTATTGAACATCATAGAACTATGAAACCGGTAAAGTTATATAAAGTTATGTAAAGAAAATATTCTTAAAAACTACAGTTGCATTTTCAACATTTTAAAATATAATTGTTAACTGTGCGTGATATATAAAATAAATCACTTTCTGATATATATATATAAAAGTTGTAACAATGATAAAAATGGATTCATAATATCATCAATTCTTACTTTTTTAAATCAATTCCCTTTTTACCAATTTAATTTTTCAATGTATAAATGAATTGTTCCAGTGATGCATACTGAGTAAAAAGTGTATATTTAATTTAGCATATATATATATATATATATATATATATATATATATATATATATATATATATATATATATGTGTGTGTGTGTGTGTGCGTTTGTGTGTGTGTGTGTGTGTGAGAGAGAGAGAGAGAGAGAGCGAGCACGTACACGAGGGCGGTTCTTAAAGTAAAGACTACTACGACTGGACATGCGCACAAAGGAAAGGGAATGCTGAGAATAGGAATACGTAGGAGAAACTTGAAGGAATTTAAATAAAAAAGCTAAAAATAGGCTAAGTGTATTACATATGTAATAAAAATTAGCCTTTTATAATTCCTTCCTTTTACATTATTCGGACTATTGCCCTCATCTTTATTGTCATATTCACGGCATTTCGGTCGTTGTACGCTCCGGTCTTCTGCAGGAGATATACATTGGAATATCGCCTGAAGAAATCCGAAAGGTACAACGGCCGAAACGTTGTGAATATAACATTATAAGGACAACAGCCAGAACATCATATATATATATATATATATATATATATATATATATATATTATTCAAACAAAATAATTATTAAAGGAGATAAGACATGTAACCATTAAAAAATAGATGAGGATATGTACCATAAAGCTATTAACAAGGAAGTTAATAAGTTTGTAAAAAGGTACCAACTGGGAAGATAACATAATAGTAACGCCAAGTAAATAGTCACTGGACTAAAAATTGCTGAGAGGATCTACAAATTCCGCAAACAACAGACATTCATCACAGGTAAAACCACAATGCTAATTTCCTAAACTATACTCAATAACGATTACTCAACTCAAAAATAATATCGGTAAAATAAGAAAAAAATTCATGGAAGATCATGCAAATACACAATAAATGTTCTAGGAATTAAACAGTGGTATAAAATGGCAGATGCCATAGAATGATTTCCCGATATAAAAAGAAAATGAACGTACATTCATATAATTCGATATTTGTGATATTACTCGTCCATCACCGAGAATTTGCTATCTGCTATAAATCTAGCATAAGATTACTGTTCTATTAGCGATCGAGAAATAAATATCATAAAGCAGGCACGAAAAAAAAACATATTATTCCATAACGGCTATCTGTGGACCAAGAGAAGTAACCCAGAATTTAATATTGCTATATGAGCATTTGATTCAGCAGTTGCACGCGAACTATTTGTAATCTTGTTATTGTGGCGACTAAGATTTATTTTCAACATGAAGGACACCGGACACTATAAAGATGGTGAAAATCACCTCCGCAAAACAAGTCCACAAAATACAGACAGATTGAGAAAGGAAATGATAAAAATAAAGATCATAAACTAAATATTACAACTGCCAATGCTAAAGTGATCATCTTTCTCAATGTAGCATTAGAAATGAATAATGGTTATTACAAATCATATACCAAAAATCTATATTGATATATATACTTCAGTAAAGTATCAAACCACCACCAGAAAATAATAGATAATTTACGTAAGTCAGTCCAAGTGAATTTATCTACTAACTCAAGCAATAAGGAAATATTTGATAATAATAAAAATTAAATAAATAAAGCAATCATGAAGTAAATTTGGAAAAAACAAAGAAGGTAAAAATAAACAGAAAATTCGTAAGCCTAACATCATATCGTTTAATCCACCTTTAATCGTTATGTTCAAACGAATATCGGAAGAATTTTCCTAGATTTAATTCTTGAGCACTTTAACCATTCACTAAACTAAAAAGATTTTTAACAAAAATGATGTCAAGATCAGTTATAACTGCGTTAATAACATCGATAAATCTATATCCCAACATAACAACATTATATTAAACAAAGATATTTCCAACAAAGTGAACGTTATTTTTTTTTAAAGTAAATGAAGAACTCAAATGCAAAACGCGATAAATCCAATTTCTTGAAACTGAGAAAAAGACATTTTTTATTGCTCAAATATGGCTGGATAAGACCTACTTTTTTCTTTTTTAAACATTAATATGTCACCATTCGACTATAAAAGGACGAAAATTTAGAATTTGAATCTAGAATTTAAGTGTAAAATTGTATTTTTATTGAAAGCGTATTTTTTGGCAATATCCGATAAATTCACAAAATGTTTTTTTTTGCAAAATCCAATAAATACATTACATCTGTATAAAGTATTTTTTTACTAATAATAACATAACATATTGATAAAAAAAAGAAGACAATTGTGATAAGAAAGTGTAAACAGACGCAGAGGTATCACCAAATGTGTAAGCTGGGTACTACCCACCGTCAATCTAAAGATTCTATCTCTCAATTACATCCCCGAAAATTAGGGAAAAATGTCAATTTTTAAGATGATTTTTTTTAATTTGTATTCTTTCTGAATGTGATCTAGTCTCTCTCCAACCACATTACATACCTTTTGAGGAATGTATCTTCCCTATATGGGAAATTCTGATAATACATTAGAGAATACTTTTAAATTGTATAAAACGAAGTTTTTTTTAAATTAAAAAAATATTTTATAGAATAATTAAAATATTCTTTATAAAATATCCCGTCACTCTTCATCACTGCCAATACTGCAGGTAGCAAATGTGTCATTTGCAGGCTGTCCAAATCCCAATTTGAATTTCTGAGTAAATATTAAATAATACAAAGAATAGCTGACGCGGTTATTTTCTTTGAAAACTTCGTACATGTTTTTTAATATTCAGGTCATTTGGGAGATATTTCCGATCGGGCGATCCTCTTTAAACATAATGGCTTGCGCGATATGTAAATCTTTTGATGGGGTTAATTATAAGCTGTCTGTTCACCTCTTTCGCTTCAGCATCTCAAATAGCTTCTCTATTTTTCGGTTTGGTTGGTACATTCTTTGCATAAAAAAAGACTACACGACTAACAGTCTTTGCCAATACTTAAAAAAATGTATTTAATTGATTAGCCTGTGTTAGTCTCTCGTCAATTCAGTAATACAACAGTAACAATAAATGATAAAATTAACGTATAATCAAAAAAACACTCAGCTAAAACAAAAGTTGGCCTTGCAGACCCGGATTCTTCTTGAAATATCCTTAACTAACAAACTAATCACTGGTGAAATCCCTACCCTTCACTTGCTTAGCTGTTATAAGTCCAAATGTATTTGGCCTTTGTTCATTTTTAATTTGTCGAGAATAGAAATGCTTTTAAGAAGATCGTTAGTAGTCAGTTGATCTGTGTGTCAAAATTCGGAAGTATTTTTGGTGTGCAAACAAGAAATTGATGGCATTTTATCCCCCCAGAATGTCGCATTTTCTTCATTTTTTCCTTGTTTGTGATACTGAGTTTCCTCGCCATTTAACTTGTTCCTCGTGACCATTGTAATTATTAATTTTGAATCAAGGTGAATTGTGTGTTGTATACAAAATGATATTAGAAAAAAAAATCCACTGATTTTTTCTGATGAACCCGAAACACGTCGTGTTAAAAAAAGTCAGTTTAATGAGTGATGTCTAAAAACCTGGTCTGTAACACGAAATGGTCCTTATTTGTCTAAGGTTACTAAGTGGACTGACAGAATTACATTGCGGTAACTTTATATAAACAAAGCGCAGTCGTAGTATTAAGCAAAATCTCTTTAATTTCAAATAATAAAATTTATAAAAAAATATTTTTACTGTTTTCTAACGCGTATGGTTTTTAAGCTAGCAAATTTCAGTTAAGATGCTTTTTCAACACAAATTCTAAACATGTACATATTGCTATTTTAAACGTAATATAATTATAGAAAATGCCAATATTAGATAATTTTTTCCTAAAATAAGCCATTAGTTTTTTATAATTTTTAACCATAAGACAATATTTAAAAGTATATCTATATTTTCCTAGCTTTCTGAAGGCAAAATTAAATTATTGATATCAAAAACAAAAGAATAAAGCGGAGATATTGCATTTTGCAAATCATTTTTTAACATTTGAAATCAGTGTAAACAAAATTTACTATATAATATGTATTCGTATATTATAACCGTGAAGCATTATTACTGCTTCACACAGAACATTTTAAACGTTTATTTTTAATGTAAATAAATTGTTTGTTCATTGAAAAAGGGTTAAACATTTAGTTTTATGTAAAATAGGAGGTTGAAACTTAATATTTACGTTTATTCCAACTTCAAATGCATCTACGGAAAAATATAATCTGTCCCTTAAACGGTCAATGTATGACTGACAATATTGTAGACCGAGGTAAAATACATTCCGGTAACGATGTTAAATTTTATTTTGGTTCCACTGAAAATCCTTGGAAATTTAGTTTCTACAATCATCAAATGACTTTCAGCAATATAAAATACAAAATCAACACTGCTCCCTCTAAATATTTCTGGCAATTAAAGAGTGTTGGAATTACAACTTTTGTAAACTGGGATGTGAGCAAGAGCAAAATCTTATAACGAGAAAAGAAATAGATGTAACTTATGTCTTGTTGAAAAATTGCTTACCCTAAAACTCTTAAGTAACCATAACTTATTAAACAAGAGAAATAAATTGATGGCTACATGTAGGCCTAAAAATAAATATCTGATTAATTGATCCTGATTAATTTCTAATGTAAATTACGTATTTTTAAAAGAACAAGTACTCTCCGTTTATGTTTAATATAAAAAATGAATATTCACAACTCTAAAATATATTCATTTTACGTATATATACAAATCCCGTTCATTTTAAATGCAAAAAAAACAACTTTAATCACAGTATAATGCATAACTGCGCCAACGTTGGGATAATCATAAAACTTAAATTATGTAAAGGTCAGTCTATATCCAGCACCTGAACATTGCGTCATGCATATATATATATATATATATATATATATATATATATATATATATTATTACGAATATATATATATATATATATATATATATATATATATATTATTACGAACCCCCCTCTGTCCTTCTCTCCAAGCTTATCGACAGCGGAGGTAGAGGAGGATCGTAATCTGTGTTATTTTGTTTTTTTAACATTTTACATTACTTTTTGTAAAATATATTTCTTTCCCAAGGGTCTCTTTCCGATTGATCAGACACAGCCGGGCGGAATCGATTAAGGAACAAACACGATAGGCGACAAACAACAATGGAGACAGGAAATATAAATTTATTAATAAACATGGAATTGTGGAAAAGATAAAAATAAAAAAAACGGCCAAAAAAACAAAAATGACGATATGCCAAGAATAAACATTTAAACATTGTGGATAAAACAGTGGGAGGAGAACATCCTTTAAGAAAGGTAAAATAAAAATCAGTGTATGGCCTTGTGCCATACTTCCACGAATTTACAGAACATGTGCTATACTTTCACGGATTCACAAAACATCAACATTTTAAGACAATGTGGAAAGGAACATGTAATAAAAGATTTCATGCTAAATTTGCATGAAAGTACAAACTTGAAAAAGAGGTACATTTATGCAAAAACGGAGCACAAGGAAAATAACAGACTTAACTCAGAATAAAGTCTTTTCCACTAATAATGTCTCTCTTATATTTACTTCTTTTCTTTTTCTTTTTTCCTTTTCTATTTCTATTTATAAGGGTCTCTTTTTGAGGTCTTTTCTTACTTCCTCTCTTTCTCTTTTCGTCGTCTAGGGGCTTGGCTGACGATTAAGAAGAAAATGCGTTCCCTCTCTCTTTCGTCTTGGTATGACAGCATTCTCGCTCCAGATGGTCTGTTCTTTCTTTCTTTCTTTCTTTTCCCTCTCGTGCTTTGTTTAAGGGATTGGTGACAGTTGAAACTGCTTTCTCTCTCTTCGATATAGCGGAGTTCCGCATACGTCGTCAAACAGGTCCATCCATTCGACTGGGAGACCAATTCTCCTCACAATTTCGCAAACACATCTTTTCGGCCCATATGTAGAGACATTTGCCAGACGTCCTGCCGGCCCGCAGACCCGGTCAAGACTGACTTTTCCGTTTCACTATTCGTTTCTGTTTTCTTCTTACTACTAACTTTTTTCCATTATGGGTGGGATGAGATCATCGACCCTCTCTCTCATCTTCAGGGTCAGAGAAAGTTTAGTTTAAAGTGTTTCAACTTCTCCCAACCGGAATATATCCATGTAAATCATGCTGTCAACACCTTGACCAAAAGAGAAGGAAAGGGTACACTTTGGTCAATCCTTGTCGCCACTAAGTCTATCTATTTCTTTTGGTTTACTATATTTACATTTTCTGCAAGTACTGGGCTCTTTATTTCAGAATGCTTCTAAAATATAAGCAATGGTATAGTTTTTATAATAAATTTAGATCGGGGTTCGTAACAATATATATATATATATATATATATATATATATATATATATATATATATATATATATATTTAATCATTTCACTCCAGGCAAGATAATATACTCACTAAGATATAAGAGGTTACTGAGTATGAGAGAATATGAGAAAATAAAAAGTAATTAAGAGGAGAACAATAAAAGAAGACGAATTAAGAAGAGAGGAGATAACGATTGACAAAGTATATAAAGTTTTGAAGATCAAAGCTGATTGAAAAGTAAAAAGCTGAAAGAGAGTTTTACAAGCGAGAAATGCCAGAGAAGATTCTGTCAGCATATAACTTACCGTATCATCTAGCCATTTCAAATGTAAAAATGATGAGACATTACCGCTAATCTAGTACTGTGCTTAAGTACATAGAGTCTAGGTATCAAATATATTATCTTGTCATAAAAATATTTATAGAAATAGCACAGTGTACTTGCGTTAAGGTGGTGGGGAAGTGACTAAATCTAAGATGCCAGGCCAGGACTAAAAACATTGCAGATTCATCTTTGTATTTTATTAAGAATGTCTATATACATAACAGAAGCACCAGACCAGAATTGGCAGACATATTTAATGCATGAACGAATGGTCGACCCATAAATGAGTAAGATAAATTTTGGCGATGAAAAAAACTGTCTCGCACAACACACTGAACCAAATTTCAGCAATCTTCAATATATATATATATATATATATATATATATATATAAAGCAGGAAGCAAAACTCTGGATGTCTGTCATTTGTCAATGTGTGTACGTACATTTAAACATATGTCTGCACCGAAATGCTTTCTTTGGTATTCTATAGGAATTCCTAACACACCCAAAACATGATTTAGCACCCAATTCCCAGAACGCATGCGCGCACAAATATATTCCTAGACATGTAATCACACATACTTCAGACCTAATATAGTCGAACAAAACGACTGTTATGTCATTTGAGAAATACGAATCTTTTTTCTTTAGAATATCATGTCAGGAAATATCGTTATAAGAAAGCCATTCACAACTTCGATAATCTTTATTCAAGTGAAATGCTCGAAACGTTTAGAGTTATTTCTTTTCCTGCGATTATCTTTACATTTCTGACTGCGTGAATATGAAGAATAAATGAAATGTAATATACTCGTGTAAAAGTCGATTTTTCTAACTATATATAATATTTGTGCGATAACTACAGGAATGACAGTTACGGTGGTCCTTTTCAGAATATGTAATTCAAAATTATCAAAGCCAAGCGTTTTTGAAAATGAACATTTACCTCCCATAGATATCTACCTTCGTATACCGTTTCCTTTTAAGATATGTGTGATCATGACTCTCCAATTCTTCTCCTTTATATCTCTAAGTTACGTTTCAGTTTTAACTCTCTGTTTCATGTAGTTTCCATTAGCACAAAATATTTCAGTGGTTTACTTACAGCTCAAGTCAGGCCCTCTTACATTTAATATACCTGTTGAGTGTTAAATTTGCCATGCACTCTTTCCTTTTTATATGCCTCAAAATTCTCAACTGTCTCTTTTTAATTTTAAGTAGAGATACTCATTTTGTTCCCATTTTCTTTAAAACTTTCTGGTTGTTCATATAATAATTTTAACGTATAATAAATATCTAACGGTATGTGGTGCAGAGATTTCAATTGTATCTTTTAATTATCTCTAATTTTAAGCAGGTGTCATTTTAATTCACATTTTCTTAAAATCTTTCTTGCTACATGGTATTCTCAAAATCCACCCTGACACTGGATGGTAACACCTGTTATCACCGACAGGCAATATAGCGAACTCCCCAAAGAGGAGTCAAAACCCTGTGAAAGAATAAGAATGTATTTTCATTAGTAAAAAAGAGACCAGCAATAGATTTTTGTAAAATATACCAGCAGCACATTTTTGAAAAAAATATTACCCAAGATCCCAAGCAAATTACATTTCGGCATTAAATGAACCATTAGATGTTAATATGATGTTAAACAGACTAAGAATTGTAATAAAATCCTGAATTATCTCGCACTCAAATAACGTTATTTACAGCCCAATAATTAATAAGCGGTGCAATATTAACTCATTTATCAAGTCCATTATCAAAAACTAAGACATTTTTCATGGTTCCAGCTAGATGTTTCCAAATGCTGCATAGATGCCTTCTTGAACCAAAATTCGATTAGCACAAATACAGGTTTGTAATAGGAAAATGAATTAAATAATGATTAAAACATATCAAACTTGAATGAAACTAGTTTTGAAATGGACTTGGGTTTCAGACTTCGTATTGACAAAAGTTCACTGTATTCCCCAAATGATATCAATATTATTTATTAATATAAGTAATTACTTATTCAGGTTTTTTAAAGGATTAACAAAAATGAAAGTAAAACATGAAGTAATTCTTTTATAAGATTAATCCTTATAATATCCTACAACTTAATAATAATTTAATTGTATTACAAAATATAACTTCAACAAGACTTCAACGTAAAACACACATATCATTAAGTCTGGTAATTATGACCACACAAACCTGTACACAAGATGTGTATCATCTAACATGCATAACTTGAAAGCTCCTAAGGAAATAATATTTCGGCATGAAATGATCTATAAAAATTGATATGCTGTTAAACAAAGTAATCTATCATCACTTAAAAATTATCCAGCATTCATTGCCATATAAGAAGATATGACATCGCATTTCAGCCATATTTTGTTTGATTTTAAAAAACATATCATATTTCTTAATACGTTGCTTAGTTTTTGAAAGATAGCTTTCATAATTTCAACGCACTTTCGGATTTCAGTGTCAGATATTTTTCTTCTATGTACAGTGCCTCTTCAGGGCGTTGACGATCATGACTCTCCACAATTTCCTGTCCTTTATATCTCTTAATAGAATTGGTGTTTTGGTATCGCTCCCAAAATTTGCTCCGCTATTCATTCACTGAAGCTTGCCAAGTAGGTTATGTGTTTTTTCTGTCTTTCTTGCCATCAATCTGTCCTGTGAGTATCAAATTTCCCAAGCCATCTTTCCTCATTATGTGCCTGTTTCTTCCTGATGCTAAGGATAATGTCGTTTTTGTTTCCATTGTCTCTAGAACTTCGTCATTGCTCAGAATTGTGTTCCATGGTATTCTCAACATCCTTCTGTAGAATCACGTTTCTGTTGCTTCAACCCTATTCTTCATGTCCAGCGTTCACTGCCATATAGGAGGACTGATATTATCTAACAGTTCAGTATTCTTTTCTCTGTTTCTAACAAATCTTTTCTGCTTCATAATACTTGGGTTAGCTTTTGAAAATCATCTTTCTCTATCTCTATAATAAATATCGCATTCCTTGTTCCATTGTTTTTAACGAACTCACACTATTTCCGGTCTGATTCTACTGCCTGTTCTATTCATCTGTTTCATATATTACCCATTTCTATAATTGCTTGATAAATATCACGCATTCTTTTCATATAGTCTTCAATAAATACACTCAAAACTTAATCCAAATACATACATACAGCAACATTATATATAAACACATACATAAAACTTAAGTTACCTATATATTTTAACGGGATTCTTTCTCAGACATTATTTATTGCTATAAACGTTATCTTTTAGTGGTACACTATATCTATCTACTCCCCCCCCCACACACAAATATATATAGGTTTCATTAAAAACGACTTTCAAGTTACTGTGGTCACTTTTGTGCCAATCACGTAATTTAATAATTGTCTATTTGGGTAGCAAACCTTCGTTTATACAAATTTCATTAAAAACGGCTGACAAGTTACTGCGTTTACTTTTTTTGACTGCATTGACACATAAAATGATTGCTGCACATATACACAATATTATATGTGTGTATATTATTATTATTATTATTATTATTGTTATTATTAGTTCACCCCACGCAAGAAATAAATCAAGTAAGATACAAGGGCTTACTGAGTGACTATTCGATAAAAAGTGTAATATAAATATTAAGGATCGAGTACAATAAAAGAACAAGATTTAAGAGAGGGGATAAGTTGTTGTTATCGCTATATATATATATATATATATATATATATATATATATATATATATATATATATATACACACAAACACACACATATATATATATATTAGCTTTTATTAAAAAAAAAACAGATTGATATAACCATAAATATATCATACCATATTCAGTTGTCTCTGGTCTCTTCTCACGACACGAAAGATTTCAAGGTCGTCTTTAAACTATTTCATTATTTGAGTGAATTTCTTCTTAATTCAGCGCCCAGTATTTGTCGCTTTTTGCCGGTCTGGTTAAGGGGATATGTTTCATTGCAAAGATATATATATATATATATATATATATATATATATATATATATATATATTGGTCAGCATAATGCGAATGTCACTGGGTTTATTAAAAGGCATCTCCTCCATTTCCGTATCTGGAAAAGCGCAAAGTCTTTCACCAAAGTATATATTATCTGTCTCTGTTTTTGGAAAACATTGTCTCCTACTTGACACCCCCTAACAGCATAAGTGAACTTTCCTTCTCCTCCCCTCCCGCCCTTGGAACGCTGGGACCGTGACACGTATAAAGAACATGACAAAATTTCTTTCACCACCAAACTTGACGCAAAATACCGAGGAAAACATTTACACAGGAAATAAAAATATTAGCACCTAATCAAGAGAAGAGGTCGTCCGTTAGAAAAGGCAGGGGAAGACATCAGTTGTCACTCGCAAAAGAAACACTGTTTCAGCACGTACCCTAAACAATATATATATATATATATATATATATATATATATATATATATATATATATATATATATATATACGTAAAACTATATATATATATATATATATATATAAGTAAAATTAATACAAGTAAGAGGTTTGTCACTTAACTGGTTGATGTTAGCTTCAACATCTCGACTCCAGTGT